CGGGATATCACATATTATTGTAACACTAGGTATTATTCTGAGTTTATTTAATATTATTTTTAGTTTACTTACACAGAATCTGTTGGTAAATAATCTTTAATATCGATTGAAACCTATAAAGGTAAATCTTTGAGAATATTTTCTAATTGGCGATATTTGATTTTATCATCTGGTGCTACGAAAGTATTAATTTGATGAATTTTGACCCTTACAAAATCCTTCATACTTCGTACTGGGATTTTTGATGCATGGTTTTTTTCAGTAACTTTATTTTGTTGCTAAAAAAAACTAACATAATTCGAAATAGTGGTGATTAAGACTATATAAAAACCAGAATAATACCAAGTGTTACAATAATATGTGATATCCCGAAGTCAATTAATGGAAATTTTTATATGGGGAAGGTTCATATTGGGTTAAAAGACACTATCTTCCAATCTTCTTCGCCTATGAGACATGCTGCTGAATTATATAATATCTTGCTTTAAAAAAATACTACAAATAAGCCTATATTATGTCTTTATATTGATAGTGGGTCTGACCATCGTTGTCTATTTGCACATGTGCAATTGTTGTATATCTGTCTATTTCTGGCCCTTGATCTTGACTACTTCGTTGCGGTAAGAACACTACCCCAACACTTTTGAAAAAACCCAGTAGAATGCATAATATCTATTTTAAATCTCAGGTTGCAATGTGTTGGTCTAATGTGAAGTAAAATGGATAATGGGTTAGAAAAATTAATAAAAAAAGCAAATACAATAAAAAAAATTCGTCACATTGCAGAAACTAATCCCACTTTAAAAGATAAGCCTATTAAAAGTGTCTAACAACCTATTAATCTAATTCGTAGCATCTTTGAATACCAATCATTAAAGGAGATACCTTTTAAAATATTCGATACAGCAACTAAAAATAAGATTACAGAATTATAGGAAATAATTCACTTAATTGACGAAGACATATCTTAGCAAGATCGTACGGCAGAAAGCATAGCAAAAAGAGTAGATAAAGTGTTTTAGGTTCATGCATAAAATGAATAATAATATTACTTATCTTCTTGTAGCAATAGTTGAAGGAATTTATCGAATATTGCTATAAAATAAGGCATTATTTTTTTACTATTAAGAAATGTGAAAACGAAAAATATATGATTTGTCTGCCACTTCGATGTTTTTACGAGGAATTTGAACAACTTCATTCTATTCCTGACCCAGTTTCTGGTAAAGATATTAATTATAAATTATTTTAAAAGTTATATGGCATACCTACAACAGAAGAATATAGACTCTCGCTCAAAGATGCTAAATTACGGAACACCAAGTTAGGCAAAGCAAAAACTACTATGAAGCATACTATGCATTTAGCCCTTTCTCTATACATGCAAGAAATGTTAGTGTTGTTGTTAACTGTTCAGAATATGAAAAACTACATCTGTTGTTTAGTTCAAAAAAATTGCCAAAAAACGAGTGTAAAATATTAGAATCTTTCTTAGACATGATCTTATATACATGCGGCATGTTGTTTCATAATACCTGTGATCTCTCATTCACCGAATTTATCAATACCGATACTACTGACGCTGAGGATAATGCTAAGGATGACACTGAGGATGATGCTAAGAATGATGCTAAGGATGATGCTAAGGATGACACTGAGGATAATAATGACCAACAAAGTAACGATCAACAAGACGATGAACAAAGTGATGACCAACTAAATAATGACCAATTAAGTAATGACCAACTAAATAATGATTAATTATGTAATGACTAACAAATTGATCCATGAGTTGAAGATGAAATTCAGCAAGATGATGTGATTGCTAGACCTAGCTGTTTATACAACATAGAAAACTCAGAAGTTATTTAAGAGGATACAAATGACACAGCTAATGAAAAAACTAGTGAATCTGAAAATAGATCAGAAAAAAAATTCACAAAAGGTGATCACATTTATGAGTTCTTTCAACGTGTCTTTGTAAATGATTCTTGGAGTTGTGCATCACCGATTGAAAAGCCCTACTACTCAGCAGGAATCTTTCCAGTTGTCTGTTTTTTGTGTGGCAATAAAAATATAACAACGCCAGTAAAAGAGAATATCCATTGTGTGTTGGGTGTGGTGGAAAGTCTTTACCAAAAAAAATGCTATAAGTGGAGGCCAGGCACGAACAAAAAGGGAAAACAACATCGAACTGAATAAAAAAATTTCTTTTGTATTGCAGTATTGTATAGTATAGTATGTAATTAGAAGTATATCTATCTGTATATTATATAAAATTTAGATGTTTAACCTATTCAATATATATAAAATATAATATTATACTCAATTTTTTACTGATAATATTATGCATTCTTATTGGTTACTTACCTACTGCGGTTTAAAAAAAAAAAAGACTTTTGGCAATTTCTAACCCAGCCGGGATATGAAAACCAATCATATCGGCGGATTTTGGGAATTTACTATTAAAAATTCTAATCATAATTAACTGTGAATAACTTTTGATCCACTGGTCCGTTTTCGATGAAACAATTACCAAAATGTTTGTCTCGATGAGACGATTCTAATGGACCCAAAATCGTCAAAATCCAATCTCAGGATCCTGAGGTCGATAGAGATTTGCGTCACTTCGGGTGTTTTAGGATTGGTTAAACCAATCCTAAAACACCCGAAGTGAAACAAATCATTTGTTTCATCGAAAACGGACCAGTGGATCAAAAGTTATTCATAGTTAATTATTATTGGAATTTTTAATAGTAATTCCAAAAATCCGCCAATATGTTTATTTTTTTTATATCACCTAATTTTAATTTTTTTAAAATTTAGTTTTTTAATTTATTTCTTAATCTGTAAGCTTGTCAGGCAAATTTGTCTAGAATTTATTATAAATATACTTTAATCTGCTTTTTTTAAATTTTAAAATATTTTTTTTAAGATGTGTTATGCCTCACATCTTTATTAACATGTATTGTATATATTTTATTATATCATATGAGGCTAAGATTATATTTATCTTTGCTTTAAACCTACCAGAGTATTCTATATTCTAAATTTTGCTTTTTTATTATTCTTATTTAGCAACCTATATATTCTTACCTGCCTGTTAACAACTCTCAGTTTTCTTAAGTAGTGTTATATATATAGTTTATAATTTGGTATACTTGTTATAGATTCTTTTATTTCTGGCTAGATCTATCTAACAGCCCATATCTTAAACCAGAAATCTACTATCTAGTTAGGTTCTTATATAAAAAAGTTGGTATTCATTATTAACAAGTCTTCTACTTATTTTCCCAGTTACTACTAATCTGTATTTTAAGTAGAGTTGCAGATATTAGAATATTAATTAATATAGACTATGATGTTTGATATAATGTATTACTGTGATATATTATATAATTATATATAAATTTTAATGATATAAAAAGTAATATAAAAAAGTAGCTACCTTAATCTTATCTACTAAATTTGGAATATTCGTTATGCTTAAAATATTTAATTTTTTTAACAGAAATCCTGCAAAGAACACAAGTTAAATAATAGTAAACAAACAAATTAACTCATCTTACCCTTATTAAAATTGTTAAAAACAGTTAACCCACCCACCTATTCTTAATAATTATCAATAATTGTTATTGATTCACTCACCTACCCTACCCACCCACCCTTGATGCTATGAACCTTCTTCATTTTATATAACCATTAATCTTGCCTTCTTATCAACAATCAACAACAATATTGTTGTTGCTTTAATACTAAAGTGTGATTGTTAGTTACAGTCATTTTTATGTTAATAAAAAAATTTAACAGATGTTTCACGTAAGTGGGGTATCTGTTAAATTTTTTTATTAATATAAAAATGCTATGAATAAATCAAATATTATTGTTATTTTGAAGTATATGACATGTTGTATATTAAATTTAAAGTTTATATATATAAATAAATAAAGTAAAATTTAAAGTGTGATATATCAAAGGGTGTAGCACTTAGTGAAGTGATTAAGTTGTCACACCCCCAAGTGACATGTTGGCTAGATAGGGGTTCGAAACCCACTGGTGACGAATTTTGAAAATTCTATCTTTACGATAGCTACTGTCATTCTGTTGATTGGTTAAAATATCTCTGTAACCTTGGTGGCACCAACAAAAGATTGGGAGATTATGGTATATTTGTGCAATGTATAAGTTATACGAATAAGCTTTTGGATCGTGTAAACCTAGAGAACCGAAAAGGATGATAGATGCTCACTTGGCAAGACCCGAGTAGAGAAGTAGCACAGATCTTTAACAGTACAACTGAAAGATCATCATTGGGAGAACTGGCAAAACTGAATAGGACTGAAATGTTTGGCAAGGCACTCCACCAACCAGGCCACCAGAAGAGTAACGGAGGAAAGAACCTAACTGTGGGGACTAGGGTCAGATCATAGCCCTTCAAGACCATCTGGATTGGTAGTTTGGGATTGTTGGGATTAAAACTAGTATAGTCTATAAAGTGTGTATTGGGTCTGAGTGAACTCTACAAAGGCAGAAGTAAGTAATAGTAGCAACCGGTTTCAGTCGCAAGTTGCTGTCTTCGAACCTGGCATAAGTTACTGAAGTCTAGGTTAGCCAGATTGTGGATATGGAAAGCTCTAGCAAGTTTATCTTGAGGATAAATTAGCCCTAGATTGGGCACTTTCTATAGCAGATATTGGTTTCTTATAATAATATAGCGACACAAAAAGTTTAAATAGGTAATCCCTAGTTGAATTATAGGTATAACATCTAGTGTAGAACCTTTGGGCAGACTATTTAAATAGGCAATCAAAAATTATACATGTGGCTAGTTGTACTCTCTAAAACTATATACTAAATGAGTAGCAGCTGACTTCAATCTGCTTAGCACATAAAATAATAAAGGCAACTGACCATGAGGTTACTTTGATATTAAAAAAAAAATAAAAAAAAAGTATAATATATCATATACTTTTAATTAATGATAAATAAAGAACACATATACTAATTACAATTTTAATATAATTGAAATTTTATTTATTTATGCTAAAGGAGTATTAATTTAATAATGTGATTGTGATCAGAATAAATTAGCTTTTTTTTACTTTTTTTTTTAAGCGTTTTTTTAGATATTTACTTCGTAAAATAGAGCACTTGATTTATTTATTAACCTTATTAAACTTTTCTATTCAACTTTTTAAAATTTACTTGAATCCAAAACGCCTAACTGATTCCAAACTTTATCTATTCACTATCTTTAGATAAAGAATTCTTTTACCAACCAAACTACACCAAAAAAAAACAAGCTTTTCAAAAATTAATCTTATTGAACTTTTTCTTTGATTTCTCAAAATCTGAAATGTTTAACTGATTCCAAATTTTACTTGTTTACTATCTCTAGATAAAAAATTTTTTTACTAACCAAACTATACCAAAAAAGATAGGCTTTTCAGAATAACAAACTACTCTCCAAAACAAAGAGAGAAGTATTGAGTGGCAGCAAAAATTTTGTTGTGCGTAATATATAAAATAAAATAAATATGTTTTTACGGTATTTGGATTATATAATTAAAATTTTATAATATTTAGTTTCTTTTAGAGCAATAGTTGACAATGCTCGAGAAACATATAAATAAGATAATATGTGAAGTTATCTTATACCCAGAACTACTTGAAATAATGTTTATAAATTTTTTTACCACATCCATTTGGACCAACAATTAACAAATACATCCCAGATTTTACATGAAAACTCAATTTTTTTAGCAAAACATCACTATTTCCATGACCAAAAAATACTTAAGCATTCTCTTCATCGAAACTGATGAAATAATAGTGATAAATTGTAAAAATTTAGAAATTTTTCATTTCAGATTTTGTGATTATAAAAAAAATATTAACATTTTTTGATTATAAAATTAGTGCTTTAGAGATAGTTAGTAACTTGATTAATATTTTGGAAATAATATTAATTTTAGAAAAGTCTGGCTTATTGCTACAATGGCTAAAACTCAATTTTGAAGACAAAATTTTAGAACAATTACTAATCTGCTATAATTTCATTTCAATTTAGTTAAGTATTGAATTTGGCAATATGAAATTTAAGATTAGATGACTTTTTATACCTGAAGCCTACCTGAAACCTACCTGAAACCCATCTGGAATTTTTTTCACACCTATTGTCTGGCCTTATAGCTATTTTCCAAATTCTTGAACACCTGACAAAAAATTAGCCAAACAATTTTTTCAGCTAATTCAGTTAAGATTTTTTTAGCAGATTTAAGTAGGTTATTGATTTTGGCATATTAAATTTAATATAAATTTAAGATTAGGTAACTAATATAAAATCCTGATAAAATTTTCATCCAGTCTTACAGCTGTTTTCTAAATTCTTGGATATCTGACAAAAAATTAGCTGAATAATTTTTTTAGCCGATTTAGATAAATTATTAATTTCGGCATATTAGATTCAATATGAAATTTAAGATCAGGTGACTAAAATAAAATTTAAGATCAGGTGACTAATATAAAATCCTGATAAAATTCTCATAAAATTTTTGTCTGGCCTTACAGCTGTTTTTCAAATTCTTGAACACCTAACAAAAAATTAGCTGAATGATTTTTTCAGCAGATTCAATTAAAATTTTTTGGTCGATTTATGTAAGTTATTAATTTTGGCATATTAGATTTAATATAAAATTTAAGATCAGATGACTAATATAAAATCTCAATAAAATTTTTGACTAGTTTTACCAAATTTTTGAACACCTGACAAAAAATTAACTGATTGATTTTTTTGGCTGATTCAGTTAAGATTTTTTCAGCTGATTCATATAAATTATTGATTTTTGGCATAATAAATTTAATATAAAATTTAAGATCAGGGTGACTAATATAAAATCTTGATTAATAGCTGTTTTCTAAATTTTTGGACACTTGACAAAAAATTGAATGATCGATTTTTTGGCTAGTTTAGTTAAGTTATCGATTTTGACCTTTAGGTTTGATATGAAATTTAAGTGATTCAAGTTAAGATATCAATTTTGGCATTATATAATTTAAGATTTTTTTAGCCGATTTGGTAAGTAATTAATTTTTAGCGTAATAGATTCAATATAAAATTTAATATCAGGGTGACTAATATAAAATCTTGATTAACAGCTATTTTCTAAATTTTTGGATACTTGACAAAAAAATGAATAAAT